AAGAACAAGAACAGGAAGATTCTACTACTTTAGAACGCAATACAGGAAGAGAGGGAACTGCTCATTTCTAAATTCAGGAAAACTTGATTCTAGGAATCAAGTTTTCCTGAATTTGGTGTGATTTTTTCTACAGTTTTCTGAAACAGTAGACAACTTTCCTAAGATGTTCAGGAAAGAGGTACCGTTTTATTGCTTCGATAAACAACGCACCCATCCACACAAAAAATACCTCATCACACGTTTGAACCTAATCTGTGATATGGCCGAAATGTAACCCGCAACGAAACATGCATCTCATTGGCACTATTGAAAGGAATATGCATTCAGTGATATTTTGAGTTAACGCAACATGAAGTGAAGTGACATCAGATAGAATGATGTCCCATCCAGAAGGGCATTTTTTGAATATTGAAGCTTTTGTCCAAGACAGAAATGATAAAGGTTAAAATGGAAGCTTTGATTTGTTACCATTGTATTTTGAGTGATAAATCAAAGCAGGTTGTGTTTATTCATTGGATATGTATTAAAACAAACTAATCGACTTAATTTAATTAACTAGTATTAATTTATCTGGCGAGTTACAACTGCTGTCTTTTTATGTCATTTACATATGCAATTTCTACGAACTTTACTTAATCGAAGTGACAGCAATTCAGCAATAACATTTCCGGAAGTTTTGACAAAATAAAAGTATTCTGTGGTTTGTTAAATTGATCTTAACCGGAGTGATTTAAAAGGTTTTCGGATTGGCGCGTTTTTTTGAATATTTGTCTGTAGATATAAGCAATTTTTTTTTGTAACTTGTTTACCATCACCCTACAATCAATCTATGAACGAACATTTCTCATCTTTTATGGCTTTTTTATCTAATCTCAACCATTTTATCCTTTATAGTTTAAGGTTAAAATGGAATCCTTTAGTCTTCCGGTAACTTATATTGGTAGAGTAACAACACTAGATTCAAACAGAGTTCAGAAAATCCAAAGGGAACTTGAAGAAGTAATAAAAATTGTTCGAAGTGATATCGATCGTATCATTGAGCGTGAAAGTCGGCTGAAGAATCTAACCGTACGCGCCGGTGATTTCTTTTTCAGGACTTTCACAGATTCTTAAAGTATTTGAATGTATATTTTTTAAGGCAGAGGAAAATTCCAACGTCAGAAATATCTATAGATCATAATTGCATATTTAGTTAATTTTTCTTGACTAATCTAAGAAAAACTTTTATTTTTTAATACACAACTTTTATTTCATACCTTTATGCTATTATAGTGCGATATTTTATAGTGCGATGTGTTTTAGAAAAATCTTTTCAACTTTATAAGAGCCTGCCAATTTCCTATGGTATTTCTAATCCCATTTCTATTGGTTTAATCATTAAGGCAGTGCTTTTCTTAACTATAAGTGTAAGGTATGATATCATTATTTCTGTATTCATATTTTAGACGAGATGGAAGCTCGAGCAGGACAGTTTTCACGCAAGGCAATTCAAGTTAGACGTAACATATGGTGGCGTGGTGCACGTCTGTTACTGCTTTGTATTTTTCTTCCTCTTCTTCTCTTTTTTTCATTGTGACGATTTGTTGAGTATATGTGAACCATTTATCGTTGATAGATTCATGCGTAGTTACGCATAATTGGATTCTTCGAAGTTTATTTTCGAACACTCTTTTTATTATTACATAAAAATCTTCTTTTTCTTCTATTGTCATATTTTGTTTTGGAGATTTGAGTTCCAGTTGATTTATTTCTTTAAGAAGACTGACTAACCTTTCCTTTGCCGGTTGAAAGCTTGCGATAATATGGCTTGACATGTTCCCGGCTCGTGGCACCAATAAATTTTTGTCGTGAAAGGTTGTCTGTTGGTTGATATTCGAATTGTTTTCAATACAGTAGAAGGATTAATAAACCTTTATTTTTTCTAGAACGTAATGTTAACAAACCGAGCAATAAAAAAAAAAGAAGAAATTTATAAAAGAAGAAGGAGGAATTGAAATTGGTTAACCGGAGTAGTAATCGACCTTAAAGACAAAAAATAATTGTAATTTTTTAAGATTGAATTTTGTATGAGTGATAATTGGGCGTGTCTAAGATAAAAATGTGAAAAATCGGAAATGTTCATGAGAATTGAGAATTTATGATATGAGATTACATGTGTAATAAACCAAAAAAACTAGATTTAAAGAGAGATAATTTAAGATACTATAAGATTGTTTTACAATGTCTGAAGAGTCGAAAGTGTATAAAAAATTGAGAATTTACGATGTGAGAACTGAACGTATCTATGATGAAAATCACATGTGAAAAATCTTAAGAAATTAGATTTATGTAGAGACAATTTATGATATTATGGGATTATTTTTAGATAGGAGTTTTCGCGATGTTATAATTCGCGACAAACTTCATTATCTGATAGTGCAACGTTTTGTGTTTTGCTATGTTCTAATAATTCAAAAAGATTATGATTGAAAGATTGTGAGTTGATAAGGTGTGACAGAAATGGCATTATCAAAAGTTAAAGAACAAAGAAGTGAATAATCAGTTATTTAGAATACGAAATTAAAATTTTTTCTATCCTCATTATAACATACTATTTTCATAGTAATGTTATTGTTTGTACTCTGTTTTGATATTTATGAATATTTACTTTTATCATCGCATAGTGATAGTAGACAAAATACAGCCTTTATTGATGTCACATTCTTTACCAATTTTTAAACTCTTTTATTCTTTCAAGGACAAGTGTGTTTTGCAAATGTATTTGGATCACATTGACTTTGTTGAAACAAAGTGCAGAAGCAGGTCGAACTAAATGAAAATAGTGATATGATAAATTTATTCATCATAATTCACGATTAGATTGACACAAGTTCCCTACGCTCAAAATGACTGAAAACGTTAACTGAATGACTCCAATCACTTTTAATGCATAATTAAACTAATGCAACTCATTTCTATATAAAAAGAAAAATATCCAAATCATTTCGCTTTCACATTATTTCATCACGTTACCAGCATTTCAAATAAATTCCTTAAAAATTCCGAAAAACAATGCCAGATTAGTTACTGGCTTCAAAAAAACTCAATCATAATCAATTTATTGCAAATTACAATTTAATAACAAACCGTTACAAATCAACTACAAGCCATTTACAAACAATTACAAACCGTGTACAAACTAATTATAAACCTCTGCAAACCTGCTCTATTCCATGTAACAAAAAAAAGGCAAGTCTCTATGCTGATAAAAAGAGTAAGATGAGCTCCTCAAAAAAAGAACTTATGACAACTGGGAGTGGGTCGCCTCATTTTGATAAAGATTTGAATTTTTTCAATTGCTTCAATATTACCCACTGTCAAGTGCTTCTCAATCTAAATAACTTTAAACTGAGTTTGGAAGAGTATATTGAGTCCTTCTGAATCTACCCAAAAGTTCTTTCTACGAGAGAGATATCAAAAATTCCATGTGATCAATCTTCCTTTGCATAGATATGACTCCCAATTTCGGCTCCGTTTTGAATTATCTTCAAAGTTTTTTGAGAATCACATATACAGTTAAGATTATCCATAACACTTCTGCATCGTTCCACTTTATATTTTTAATGGTAAAAATTTTTCAAGAGCAATACAAGAAATTGATGTATCAAGAACTACACGCAGTATTCACCGGAACCTATGGATCATTATATCAGTCGCATAAGCAGATGTTAGTTTTATAAATATGTTTAACAAAAATTCATAAAAATTTCAGAATTCACCTAATTTTTGGTTTCTCAAAAATCAGCAGAAGAGTGCAAGAGCTAAAACCATAGCTACCAAAGAAGACATATTCGTTAATTACCAACGTTTCCTGTTATTTGTTAAATAAATTTCTTTTTTTACAAACGATTCACCTCACACAATTAATCAGCAGAGCAACTAGAAAAACTTGAGATGAATTTTCGATTATGCAAATGACCCTAATGGGAGGATATTGTCACTGTTTTCATCTCAGACATCAACTGATGACTACCAGTTAGACGTGCCTAATTTTTTCTTGAAATCAATATATAATTTCTGTAAACCTTTATAGGACAACACAATAATTTTCATATTTTTGTCTTAAAAATATTTTAGAATTGATAGAAAGATTCGAAATAACAAACGACAAACAGATTGAGGGAATCTAGAACCTCAATCTTTAAGCATTTCATCTACAACACAGATAACAATGTGAAAAGTTCAACCTCACACTTTTTAGGAATTTAAATATTTCTATTATCGATAAACAAACGTTGTATATACCTACTATATTGTTCATTGCATAAGAAAATTTGTTGGTCTGTAACATGCTTCCCAGATGTATAAAAGATTTCAATAATTCACGTGTGTCTTGTTAATTTTTAAATATCGACACAAAATTGAAATACGGAAAAACAAATTATTATGCATTTTTGTGATTTTAAAATAAAAAACATTTCTTATTTCCTATAGACATTCACTGATGCAATACAGAAAAAAATCTAATGTTAAGCATTATCAACAGCTAATAATGCTGAAGTTTAGTAGTATTAAAACAAACAACCTGAGAAAGCTTAAAAATAATTTTACTCGTATGCAAAATTGAAATATTACATTACTTCTGTGGAAAATCCTTAAAAGATATAGATATATAAGAAACCAAATTAGACATATCATGCATATTACGGAGAGTCATTATTATTCTTCGCATTTATCGAAAGAACTGAAACTAGGATATCTGGTAACATAATTTGCTCCAAGCATTGTAAGCCAGAATCCTATTATACAGGTTTTACTTGTTCCTAATAATTACAACCTGGGATTTCAAACGAATATTACCATTCTGCAAATTTGCTATCAATCGAATTATTAATGGCAGAATTGTATCTTTATGTGATTCTAAAAATCCAAGTATGGTTTAGGATTGCCTCGAAAAACCATATATTTAATTCATTCATTGATTAGACCGTTATTGGAAATAAATTTAAAATAACAGTCAACTAACCAATGATACCGACGACGAAGAGCATACAAGTACAAACAATGGTAATCGTCAGACGTGCACCACGCCACCATATGTTACGTCTAACTTGAATTGCCTTGCGTGAAAACTGTCCTGCTCGAGCTTCCATCTCGTCTAAAATATGAATACAGAAATAATGATATCATACCTTACACTTATAGTTAAGAAAAGCACTGCCTTAATGATTAAACCAATAGAAATGGGATTAGAAATACCATAGGAAATTGGCAGGCTCTTATAAAGTTGAAAAGATTTTTCTAAAACACATCGCACTATAAAATATCGCACTATAATAGCATAAAGGTATGAAATAAAAGTTGTGTATTAAAAAATAAAAGTTTTTCTTAGATTAGTCAAGAAAAATTAACTAAATATGCAATTATGATCTATAGATATTTCTGACGTTGGAATTTTCCTCTGCCTTAAAAAATATACATTCAAATACTTTAAGAATCTGTGAAAGTCCTGAAAAAGAAATCACCGGCGCGTACGGTTAGATTCTTCAGCCGACTTTCACGCTCAATGATACGATCGATATCACTTCGAACAATTTTTATTACTTCTTCAAGTTCCCTTTGGATTTTCTGAACTCTGTTTGAATCTAGTGTTGTTACTCTACCAATATAAGTTACCGGAAGACTAAAGGATTCCATTTTAACCTTAAACTATAAAGGATAAAATGGTTGAGATTAGATAAAAAAGCCATAAAAGATGAGAAATGTTCGTTCATAGATTGATTGTAGGGTGATGGTAAACAAGTTACAAAAAAAAATTGCTTATATCTACAGACAAATATTCAAAAAAACGCGCCAATCCGAAAACCTTTTAAATCACTCCGGTTAAGATCAATTTAACAAACCACAGAATACTTTTATTTTGTCAAAACTTCCGGAAATGTTATTGCTGAATTGCTGTCACTTCGATTAAGTAAAGTTCGTAGAAATTGCATATGTAAATGACATAAAAAGACAGCAGTTGTAACTCGCCAGATAAATTAATACTAGTTAATTAAATTAAGTCGATTAGTTTGTTTTAATACATATCCAATGAATAAACACAACCTGCTTTGATTTATCACTCAAAATACAATGGTAACAAATCAAAGCTTCCATTTTAACCTTTATCATTTCTGTCTTGGACAAAAGCTTCAATATTCAAAAAATGCCCTTCTGGATGGGACATCATTCTATCTGATGTCACTTCACTTCATGTTGCGTTAACTCAAAATATCACTGAATGCATATTCCTTTCAATAGTGCCAATGAGATGCATGTTTCGTTGCGGGTTACATTTCGGCCATATCACAGATTAGGTTCAAACGTGTGATGAGGTATTTTTTGTGTGGATGGGTGCGTTGTTTATCGAAGCAATAAAACGGTACCTCTTTCCTGAACATCTTAGGAAAGTTGTCTACTGTTTCAGAAAACTGTAGAAAAAATCACACCAAATTCAGGAAAACTTGATTCCTAGAATCAAGTTTTCCTGAATTTAGAAATGAGCAGTTCCCTCTCTTCCTGTATTGCGTTCTAAAGTAGTAGAATCTTCCTGTTCTTGTTCTTCTTTGTTTTATTTATTGGAAATTCATTATTAATTACTAATGAGCCTATTCGTGGTATAGTATTTATTACATTCGTTCAATGGTTTTCCTTCTGTATTTCAAACTTTAATAAGATTTTTTTAAAGAATTATACATGGAGTGCAACTGATATGCGAGAGGAAAGATGGTAGATGCATTTGTGAATATTCCAGTAAGCACTGAAGTTCTTTATGTTTAGAAGTGCTATACATCTTTAGTTCTTTTGTTTAACAAATCAAAATATCCATGTTTCATTCTTTCATTTTTGTAATGTAAAGTGCAGTTCCACTTTTTTTTTTTTTAGGATTTCTAGTTCAGAGCACTTCAGCGCGTGAAGATATTTAACAAATCAGATGCGACATTGTATGATATTATATGTTTTGGATTACTGCCTCATCATGACATGAGATTATTGTTTGTGCTTCTGACTGTGATAAGTTGATATCTTTAAGAAGTAGCGATGTTCATTTGCTGGGAAGTAACCAATCTTCAAGTTCAGCAGGCTGATTTGTTTTCCAGTTATATCATGGCTTTTAAACTTTCACGAACAGTTCATATACGTTCTGGATATATGCTTTCTTCCATTTTTCTATGTCTGGCTTTGCGGTATGTTGAAATTTTATCAGTAATATTTACAATAAATTGGTAAAACATTAAGTCTTCGTACTTGTCACGAACCATCTATTCGAATGTTGCCAATACCGATTTTCAGCTGTTTTATGCCTGGGTTATTTTTATCATAATTAAAATCAGCATTTCTTCTGAGCTTAATTTATCTGAGAAATTCATATACTACGTCCTGCTATGTTTGCATTACTGCACTAGCTTGCAACTGCTCAGGTCGCGTATTATTTGTTTTAATACGAAGATTATTTGGAGCAGTCGTATTTCTCTATAATATGTATGCATTTTCGGTTGATTGTGTTAAGCAAGTTAGCTAATCACCATTTTGTATTTTAGTGACGCAGATGTTCAGATTTTTAACTTTCGAATCTTTATAATAAATGCTTGCAGTGTTTTAGAGATTTCTTGCAGAGAGGCCCCGTTTACAGTTTGAGACTTTCTGCTGATCCAACCGCACACCCTTGTTCCCGAAAATGGAATCCACAACGGGATACTGTATTTGCTGTTGCTACGTCTATGGCGTGTTTCCATTCTTTTGAGGCATTATATTTTTAACTAAAATTTCCACTATATTTCTAAATAATTTTGGCTTGGAAATCATGATGTTAATTTTATCAACCTTTGGTAAACATACCATATCTTTATATATGGTAAACATCTTAAAAAGATATGGTATGTTTACCACATCTTTTTAAGGGATCTCATCAAATGTTGTCATATGTAATGATATGAAGGTGTTAGCTATTGGATGTATCAGAGCGCTAGGAAAGCTTTAGAAACTTGGAATAAGCTGAAGAGACACAGCCACTTAGTACATTGAGATTGGTGTGTTTTTTTTCATCTAATTTGCTTGTTTCGGTTAATGATCACATGTTTCATTATTAGTGCAAAAATATTCATAAAGAGAAAGTCATTTTGTGAAACATGTTTTAAGAAATAATATATTTCATTAGTTAATACTGTTCCAAAAAATAAAAAGTATGTTTTCTTAAAAGATTTTCCACAACAGAAGCATATCGTTCCAGATAAGTATGGAACATCCCTCTTGTCCTTTTACAGCGCAGTTCTTTCAGTCTTGGTTTTATCGTGTCGAGGATCCTTTTTGCCTTCAATGCGCCTAACATAAAGCATTAATATGTATGTATTGGTTTCTGTGTCTTTTGAAAAACTTTGCTTAAAAGAGACTGTTTTATTGCTGGTAACGTAGTTTTACAGCGCAGTTCTCTACAAGATACATGTTATTTAGAAATCGATTTGCTTACTTTATCAATATATGTTTGTCAACATTCTTAAGATTAGCTGTAATGAGAACTTTTGTTTTGTAATCAGATTCTGAAGTTCTAACTAGGACTATATTTTTAAATAGCCAGAAAGTTTACATTAGTGATTTACAGGAAGGTATCAAAAAGAGTTAAGGTAAAACAGAATGAGTATTCGTGTATTGGTTTGTCAGATACCATACGTCATTTCAATACCCACAGATTCATTGGGTTCAGCCATTTCTTCTGAAACTACGTACATTCCAAAGCAGAATGAGTTGCACGGCAGGCAAAGGTGCTTTTACCAGAAACGAAAGGCTGATGTTACAGTGTCATTTAATATTTCATCCAGAACTTCATGTGTGCGATTTTGAAAAGGGAATAATTTCAGATAAACTCGTTACAGTCTGCAAAAGCAGCAGTGCTATCGAAATTACATTAATCTTTACAATGTACTAATGTAGAAGATTCAACAATTTCACAGCAGCAGATAGGAGAACATTTGCAACAAAATTCAGGGACAGATTTGCTTAAACAGTTACGGGAAGACTTTCGGAAAAAACTTCACATTTTTGATGAATAATTCTTTGACCTTTGTAAACGGTATTATTGGCTTTAAAGTTTGAAAAAAAAAAAAAAAAACAGCAAAACAGCTGGAATTTAACATTGGTAAATGTTGGAGGTCAATAATTTGTTTGAATGGAAAACTGAAAAACGTATTTCTGTGGTGAATTTATAAACTGTGTTTCAGGCAAATTTAGCAAATAAAATGTTAGAGTTAGAGAAAATGGCATTATGATTTAATGCTTTAGAAAATCAGAAGAGAATGTGCGTTCAGTTGAGTGTGAACAGGAGGGAAATTGCGAATAGTGTAAATCGAGAGCTGCTTGACAATAAACGGGTGTTGGACTTCAACAATGTAATGAATTAAAAACTTGTTTATTTTAAATGATGTGAGGAATCTTTTCTGTCTTTTTTATTGTCATCTGCACAGCCTAAAACAGTTTCATCTGCTCAGCCTAAAACAGTTTCAGTGCTTCGTAATGTTTCTTTTGCTAAAAAAGTTAACTCAGTATTTGATGCCGGTGGTCCAGCAACTTTCTGATCTGATGGTGAATGTCTCTTTAGCCGAATGCAGCAATCGAATGCAATATTATGAACTTCGTTTTCTTTAAATTCAGCGGCTAATTCGCATAACAGAGACAAATCAGCAATAACTTAAATCGTCAAATATTGACTTGTGCAGTCATATGCAGTATTTCTTCTGCGCCTACGAATGATACCAGAGTTTTAAGTCGATGAAACATAAAAGGAGTTTGCTTCTTTACCAATCAATAACTGACTCCCCATTTGTTGAGAGACATCGTATGTCAAGCTAGATATTGATATTTTTAAATTTGAGAACGTTTATAACAAAGATGAGAAAAAAATTGAATCTGCATTAACAACCATAAATGATCTATATAATATTGAAAAATCCAACAATTTCTGGAGTTTGTTCTTACCGAACCAAATATAATATAATAAGTATAATGCACCACACAAATGTACTTAAAGTAAACGTTTCTTTTTCTTATTTTGGTATAAAACTGAAGGTTAAGATTTGCTCAATATATATATGTCGCGAATTATAATTTCGCGAAAACTTCTAACCAATTTCATAGTATCATAAATCATCTCTCTTTTTAAATTATAAACAATCCTACGGTATTCACACATGTATTTTTAATCTCTTCGTAGTAAACACTTTAAATTCTTTACACATGTGATTTTATCTTAGACACACCCAATCCTCACTCATATAAATTCAATCCTAATAAACAAAACCATTAATTATCATCATTGTCGACTATGCATGTTTAACCAAGATCAACTCCTCCAATCTTCTTCTTGATTATAAATTTTTTCTCTTCTTTTACTGCTCTGTTTATTAATAGTACGTTTGCGAAAAATAAAGGCTTATTAATCCTTCTACTGTATTGCAAACAATTCGAATATCAACCAACAGACAACCTTTCACGACAAAAATTTATTGGTGCCACAAGCCGGGAACATGTCAAGCCATATTATCGCAAGCTTTCAACCGGCAAAGGAAAGGTTAGTCAGTCTTCTTAAAGAAATAAATCAACTGGAACTCAAATCTCCAAAACAAAATATGACAATAGAAGAAAAAGAAGATTTTTATGTGATAAGAAAAAGAGTGTTAGAAGATAAACTTCGAAGAATCCAATTATGCGTAACTACGCTTGAATCTATCAACGACAAATGGTTCACATATACTCAACAAATCGTCACAATGAAAAAAAGAGAAGAAGAGGAAGAAAAATACAAAGCAGTAACAGAAGGCGACCAAGGAATATTTCAATTATTACACAAAGGAAAGGAAGCGGTAATAACACTGACAATGCACAAGGATGAAGTCGACCAAAACTTAAAACAACTCTCAAAGGAGTTGACGAACAAACAAACAAAAGAAGAAGAAGCAAAATTTACTCCTTCTTTAAATATTAATGTAAATCTTCCTCATTTATCGCTCCCTACTTTCGATGGAGACCTTAGACAATGGCGACAATTTTGGAGCAGTTTTAACGCAGCAGTCCACACACAAGCGATTCCAGAAATACAAAAATTGAATTACTTGTACTCATGTCTTAAAGGAAAGGCTCTACAAGCAATATCTGGATATGATATAGCTCCAGAGAATTATGAAGTCATCAGAAAACTGCTCAATGAAAAATATGGCGATCACTCAATAGTAACAACATTAGTATACAACGAACTCCAATCAATTAAACGAAATGAAAGAGAATGGATTGGAACAATTGAAAATATAGAACGAGTACTGCGCCAGTTAGAAGCTCTAGGAGAAAGCCTTGAGCATTCAAATATTGAAATCTTGATCGAGAGCAAGTTGCCATTATGGATATTAAATAAAATATATAAACATAAGAAGAAGGACATGCCTTGGTCAATTCTCAAACTAAGAAACTTTTTAACAAGTTTAGTTAATGTGAATGAACAGATTAGAAACTGTCAACATTCACTCACCCAACTCAATATTAAATCTACAACTACCAAACCGGAACAAAAACAACGATACAATCCCGGAGGAACTTCAGCATTGTCGATAATAAAAGATAATCAAAATACTTCGAAAACTACAACAACGAAAAGACGACCATGTGTATTCTGCAATCAAGATCATTGGGACAGCGATTGCGTGAACTACACAACTCTCAATGCTCGGCTTAGTCGTCTCAAAGTGTTGAAAAAATTTACTATTTGTCTTAGAGGCAGTCACAAAGGACAGAATTGTAATGTCAAAAAACAATGTTTTTATTGCAAAAGCTCACATAATAGTGCTTTATGTAATAAAAGGAATTCACTTTCTTTAAACAATACAATGTCTCAAAGAAATGAAGAGCATGAAAGAATTGGACCTTCGAAACGAAAGGATTGTTCAACTTCTCTCTATAACTCTACATTAACAACTCGATCCAAACAGACAAAGGAAATCTTACTTTTATGTAAGGAGATAAAGGTTTTTAATCCATCACAACCTCAACTACAACAAAATGCCCTTGCATTAATTGATATTGTATCCTTCATCTCCAAAAAATTATCACATCAATTGAAGTTAACCGAAACAGAAACTCAAATTATGAGAATAGCTCCATTTGGTATGAAAGAACCGAAATCATGTCCCACTGCTCGCATACAACTAAGTGTGCTAACTACCGAAAGCGAAATCGTACCACTACAAGCAAATATAATTGATTATCTAACGAACGAATTGCAGGTAATGGAGACATCAAATGAATTTGAAATTCAAAATTTAACAAATTATTGGAATTTTTTTTTCAAATTTATTAGTCTACGAGAAATCAGGGAATTGAAATCAGGGCATATGTTGGTTCAATCAAAAGTTGGTCCAATGATTGCTGGAAGTGGAGAAATTAAGAAACTTTGCAAGAACGAATTATATCCTGAAGAAGTAGTATATTCTACAAACGTCAATATTAGCACGGAGCTAGAAAAATTTTGAAAATTAGAGACGATTGGTATCCAAGAATCACCTCAAGATGATGTTGATGATCAAGCTTTAAAGCATTTTAAACGGACCATCATCAAGCAGGGGTGGAAGATATCAGGTTTGTTGGCCATGGAAAGATTCCAAACAAAAATTAAGCAATAATTATGGATTATGTCTGGGACGATTGAAGAATTTGATCAACCGCCTACAACATAATTCAAATGTCCATTCATATCATCAAATACTTATGGATCAACTACATT